AGACCAACAAAACTCCTTGTAATACCAAAGATGAACTGAAGGCAAGGATTATGGCAGCATTCACCAACTTAAACAAGGAGATCATCCAAAAGAGTTGCAAGAGATTCTAAAGTCATCTGGAGGTCATGGTTGAAGCCAATGACAATTTTATTGAATAAATTTATTCTTTCATATTTCAAGATATTTTTGTGTAATTTTGGTAAATATATCTATTAAAATGAGATGTCAGTGTTATTTTTGCATAATTTAGATAACAATTTATCCATTGCACCCTGTAGATGTAGGCCAAAACTAACATGAAATATTGGTCATATAATTGTTCTGAAAATTTTACCACCTTCAGTTGGTTAATACTAATTTTATTGCAAAAATTATTTTGCTGAGTCTTTTCTAATTTGGTTTTGATATAATAAAACTTAGTTGTTGCTAGATATTATTTTTGAAGTGTCCTTTGTGCAACCATATCTACATCATTTTTTTTGTATTTCTTAAATTCTCCTTGAAGTTATTTTTCATGTCATTTTGTTATCTAGTTTATTGGTTTTACATTTTAATATTTGTTTCTTTTTATCAGCTTTCTTACAGTTTCTGGCTATCATGATTATCCTCTTCCTTTTGCTGTGTATCATTTTGTATTGTGACATGAAATGTTAAGGAGTCTTTTCTTCAATCTTTTGTCTTCCTATAATGTCTACAGGACACAGTCACCTGAGTGTCAATATTTATTTATTTCCTGGCCATCAGATTCAAAGTCCTGTTGTCTAGTTTAGAAAGAGTCCAGAATATTTTACTTTGTGTTTTTTTGTTTTGTTTTTGTTTATTTAATGTTTATTAGCCAGAAATTCTTGTTGATCACTTTAAGATTAGCCTTAAGTAAATTTTCGTAGGTGCTTATGAAATACTAGTGTACCCATGCCATAAAACTGACAGGAATTGTTAGAAAGTTTTAATAGATGCTATGAAACAAAAGTCTTGAAACAATTGAGATTCAATAAAGCGGAGATAAAGAATTCACAACTTAGAGACCAATAAAAACTGTTTAAATAATCTGTTCCCTTTATATTTATTTTTTTTTAGATGTTCAATGGTATCTATGATTTATTGATTACTCCTGGTATTATATAAATTGCTTTTTGCTCAATATCTTTTCATGTTAAAAATTTTATGTGTTTTAATATAACAATGAAAGGAAGTAAAGGATTAGCAACAGAACAATAAAGATGGTGACTACTAAGCATATCATTTAATAGACAAAGTTATCTGAGTGCTGTACATGAAAAGCTTGAACAAATAAGACTGCAATCTAATAAATGTAGAAGTTAAAGAACTGATTAATTAAGTGGTTCATTTTGCGTGGGAACTAATTTTGTCTAAATGCAGATAATTTTATTCGTATGGGTTAATAAAATGACTAACTTAAATTGATTTACCTCCCTTTCCATTACAGATGGAACAGGAAATATATACTCATTGATAATTATTATATGGTTTGATTTATGTTGCTATTAAGTTTTATCTCAGTCTAGCTAAAGACCATAATGTGTTTTCTTAATGAAAATTAAACTCACTATAACAGGAATGGTCTGGGATATTGTTATTATTCCATGGTATGATACCCTCTTAGTACAGCACAAGGCCTTAAGTTTGAAGGCCAGCAGTAAGGGATGAACTCACTGCAGTAGTAATAGCCAGCTCAGCTTGCTTGTTAATTATTCTATAACAAAGTACCTATTTAGTTGATGATACTTGTTTTGCTCAGTAATGATGTGCAACTGTGTAAGGCAGGAGTGATCACAATGATGAAAAATAATTTAGACTGAATGTTTATTAAAATAACATAAATTTAGTTTTAATTGTAAATCTTATTTTATTTGAACTTTTGCATGGAAATTATCATTACTCAGCATTTTTCTTTAAATTTTTTTAAAACAATGATTCTATTATTTTTCTATCTTGATGAATTTAATCACATTTTTATCATTCAAATGGTTAAAAGGAGAAAACAAAGCCAGTGAATAGTGTTCAAATTCTGGCTGAGGTAGTTAGTATACACTTTGTACTAAAACTTAAGGAAGACATGATTTCACCTCTTCCAGTAGATCAAGTTAGTAAATTACTTTTCTCCTAATACCTTGTTTAAAACCTTAATCATATTTTCTTTTGTATAATATGACTTGAATATAATATGACCATGTGTTTCTGAAGCTAAAAACAAGGAATAAATTAAATCCTTGAGTATAAAGGAGGCATGTTGGAGTAATGGATAACGGCTCGAATTGAGGAATCGGAGAGCTGAGTTTGAATTTCAGTTGAATCCATTACATTCACTTATATGCTAATACCCTTGGGAAAGGTATGAATTCTCCTCTTCTCCCCCCTAGCTATGGGTAAATAGCAGGACAGACCGGATTCTATAGCCTTGGATGGCAACTGGTCTACTGCAGAAAGAAATAGTAACCTACTGCAGGAAAAAATCTGCCTTGTCAGTCATGTATCAAAAGATACATGATTGACTAAGTGTGTATCACACATGGCACATGACTGACTGACTGACTGACTGACTTGAGTATAATACAACCCCACAGAACAGCCATACTGATGTAAATTTTTTTTTTTTTTAAAGTTGTCCCATATTATCCATTAAGATCTCAATGTCATGCGTATATTTCACAAAAATATTTATTTTTTTCGTTATATTAAAGAAATAAATCAGATGGTTAGCCATTGCATGTTTCTTCTAATTTCTGTTTCAAAACTTATTTTTGGGGAAAGGTGCTTTGTTGTAACATCAAAACAACAGATCTTGTGCTTTCCTTTAAAAAAAAAAGTTTTTATTTGATTTTGGTGAATTTCCTTCTTTGAGGTAAAAGAAAAGATGTTCAATTACAATGATTACCAAAGAACAAATATTGCTAACATCTGATACCTTTTGTTTGTGCTTTATTATCCATTGTGCTAACTGCTCTGATCGGGAGGCTTTGAGGATCATGGAACCACCTCTTAATTGCTGGTGTTCCCAGATCTACCCTGACCTGGGGTGGTAGCACCTGTTAGGGTCCCAGCTATGAGAAAATAGTTAACCCCAAAACTGAGGTAAAAAGCATTATGAAAGTGTAGAAACAGGTTTTAATACCAGAAATACTTTGTAAAAAATTATTACCAGAAATAGATTTTTGACAAAACAAAAATATTACCAGAAAAAAATAAAAAGTTATCGGCATTACATGACTCATTGAGGTTGATATGCCGTAAAACAAAACGAACCAAACCATTGTGCTAACTGAGTGTATTTGCAATATTGCAAATATAGGATGAATAAAAATTTCTGAAACTGTGCACCTGTGTATAATATGAACCCCTCACCTTTTTTGGCTTTAATTTTTGTTCAAAGTTTCTTGTATTATACATCAGAAGATATGGTTAAATGTTAATGGCTGGCTACTTGTATTCGAATATTCTACTAGGGCAGCTAGCTAATCTCTTTTGCAGATGCTTGCTCAGGTGCATTTTGTGTTTGTTCAACATCCAGTGGTTTATACTGACACTTTGTTGAGCAGACCTTAGTTAAAGTTTCTGGGTGAGAAGCATGTTATCAAGAAGCATCAACAATCTGAACAAGGCCAGCATGCTCAAACCCTCAGTCACTTCATGCTAGCACAGCTATTGATGACTGCTATGGCTTCTGTCTATTCAATTTCACTTGCAAAGCTTTTCAGGCACTTTCCAAAGGTGCTGCATGCTGGGATCACCTGATAGTGTCAAGAAGTTACCTTCCTGACAAATCGACCCTGGTGAGATTTGAACACAGGTCTCATGGTCAGAAAGCAAACACTCTAACCACTTGGCCATGTGCCCATATAGAAGATATGGTATATTATTATTATTATTATTTACATGCTGACTTTTTTCCTTATTGTTATTATCACAACGTAATACTGTTGTGTTCTTGGGCTCTCTTCAGATATCTTTCAATCTAGGTAACCTTCTGGGCCTGTTATTTAATTTGTGGGGATAGGTTATCATTTTTCTGAAAATGTTTATGGATATCTTGTTTTGTTCTTATTTACTACTGCTCAGTTATTGTTTGTCCTGTTTCTACTGTGTCTAAGTGCGCACTTCCCATAGGGGTAATAACCTAGTGGATTAGAGTGTTGGTTCGTAAATTTTGGAATTGTGAGTTCAATCTCCGGGCCTGTTAGTACAGAATCAGACTCTGAGGAAACCGGGTGAGCAATAATTGAGCAGGACTTAAAAAATTAAAACAAGAAGATATCCTTAAACATGGACAGTAGAATGAGAACAATGTACCACTGTAGATTAAATAAAGTGTTTAGTTCAAAATTCTCTGAAAGTTACTTGGATTGACATCTACCAGAAAAATGTCAGAGGGCACAACCAGCCATATTAGTCCAAGTGTAAAAGATGTAAATAACTCCTCATCCTAGAAAACTACTGTTGGGCCTTCCATCTGTTTTTTATATGATGATTATTGATGAATATTGAATGGAATTTTCTTTCATTGACTTCTGGACATATCATATGATTACCAAAGTTAAGAAACATCAAATCAGGTCAGAAGCCGAAATGAGTGATTATTTGGGAATATCAATTAGATGTGCAAGTAGTGTAATGGTTAACGGGTTAGAGTTGGAAATTGGAGAAGCGAGTTATAATTCCAGTTAGGTTCATTATATTCACTTACATGCAAATATCCTTGGGGAAAGTTTGAATTAACCTATCTTATAGGTTAATTAGTACAACTTGTATCAGCAAAATCATTACTATTCCTCATCCCTGCCAAAAAAAAAAAAAAAAAAAAAATAAATCTAAAAATATTTCCCAGTTTTTAAATAACTTGCAAAAGGTTGATAAGCTGTAAAACTCACATCAATCAATCGATCAATATTCTCTCATCAGTAGGTGAGAGATATTATTTGCACTGTTTATCAACGTGTACTTTAATTCCATGATTTCAATTAAAATCTGTCCTTTTCTTACAGGTGATATTTAGTGGCCATGCTGAAGATGTAATCTTAAATACTGCCGGCAATACTGAGTAAGTATTGTACCTAAAAATATGGTGTAAAATCAATTCTCAAATTTTTAGGAGTTATTGGACTTAACTGTTATTTAAAAAAAAGTTATGTTTGAAACTGTGCTTACATCATTGATATCTGCATATTTTTCCTAATTTCTGAATTTTAAATACATTTCTTTAACTTTTTTTTTGTGGTCAATGTCTTTCCGGGAGCATATGCACAAACATTAGGGGATAGTAATTATTTATCTTAAATGAAGAATAAATGGATATATTTGTCTATATTTCTGAGATGTGATGTTATAACTATTTACACTGTTCAGACTGTTGTCCTTATCTTTGTCATATTCACAACATTTCTGCCATTGAGGCCGGAGTGTACAATTGGCTGAAAGATTAGGTCAACAATCTGAACAGTGTAAATAAATGGATATATATTTTTATTCTTCTTTGTTGTGACATATGCGTTCAGGTTGGTTGATTGGTTGGTTTTATTTTATGGCATATCAACCTCAGTGGGTCATTTAATGCCAACAAAATTTTTGAAATAGATTCATAGCGATAGTTTGGTAAACAAAAAAAAAAGTGTATATATATATATATATATATATATATATATAACCATTTTTTAATTACTCTTATTTTTGAGTACAATCCAAATTCTTTTAGGAAATAAGGACATTAGCAATCATGGCTCCCCACAACTTGTCTTTTATGGCTCTTAATAAGGTTTGTCTTTTTGCTACCTGTCCTAATTCCTTTTCTGCTAACCAATCACACAAGCTCATTCTTTGTTATTCACTGCTTTCCTTTGTCTCTCTTACCTTCAATATGTCTTCAGTATTCTCTAAGCCCTTTTTATGTGTCCTAGAAATTTTTGTTTCCATTCCTTTTTGTTTCCATTCCCCCTAAACCTTTGTTGTTACTCAGATGTTCAGCATCCTTCTGTCAAACCACATTTCAGTTGTTTCAAGTTTCTTCAGCTGTAATGAGATTGTCTAGCATTCACTGCCATAGAGGAGGATTGATATTATACAACAGTAAAGAACTCTTTTCTTTGTTGCAATGAGATTTTCCTGTTTCTTAATACTTTGCTTCGGTGTTGCATTTCCATCCTCTGATAAAACACTTTCTAGATATTTAAATTTTTGTACTTGCTTGATTTTTGGTATCTCAAATTTGTAGTTTGTATCTTGGGGTTGTTCCTTTTGCAGAAAACTGTTTAGAAGACACATCCTTGTCTTATGCAAGTGGTTTTCTCCCAGTATAAGTTCTAGATCATTGTAATATCCTTACTAAATATGTCAAAGTTACTTTGCATAATCTATAAAACATATGGATACATCCTTTTGCATTTGTATTATTCTTTCTGATATCATTCTGAGCATAAATATCAAATTCCTTGTTTCAGCATCTTTTAACAAAAAGTTGCAGTTTTTGTCCTATTTCTGGTCTAATTATGTTACACACTCTATTCATCAGAATTTGGATTATAAGTTTCATTATGTGGCTCATTAGGCAGATTGTCTGACGGAGTTTGCATTCAATTGCATCCACCTGGCTTCTTAGTGTGATGAAAAGGGATCTACTATACTTTTATTAATATATGTAAATTTTGGTTCTTTACTAAAATATATACACCTATTTATTTTGTAAAAAGAAAAATCAGTTTATATGCAGCCTGTTCCAATATCTCTGTAAAAAGTCAGATCAGTTTTATATCGTATCAATATTATAAATGTGACCCCATTCTAAAATGATAAAAATCAATATTTTCCAATTCTGCTGACACCACATCACATACAATTACTGGAGTTAAGCAATGTTGAGCCTGTTTGGTACCTAGATGGGAGACCAACTGGGAATACCAGGTGTTGTAATCTTGGATATGCAGGTGGTGTGATGGATAATGTTTTGGAATTGTTAATTGGAGAGTTCCAATTCCTGTTTGGTTTGTTATATTCACTTACATCGAAATATACATTGAGATAGGTATGAATCCATCTCTTCTCCCCCAAGCTATGGATTAATTAATAAGACTTGTATCACTAAACTATTATCTCGAAAAAAAAAATTCTTACAATCTAAAAATATTTTCTGGCTTTAAATAACCTGCAAAGGGTTAAGGTGTAGAAAAGGAATCAATCAATTTTCTAATTCTGATGAATATTGTGGCTTGCAGAATATCTAATAAAGGCTAATCTGTAAAAATTAGCTGTAAAATAAATTTTACTCATTTTTTTTTATTATGAGTAAACCAGACTGTTTAAGTATTGCCGATACATCAAATAAAAATAATGTGAAACTAGGCTTAACTGACAATCTTTGGATTTTTTTAAAAAATAATATGGAAGGATCCAGAGGCTAACTGATTTGTTGAAAAAGAAAAAGTTGAGTATGGAAAAATTCTGTATTGAATTTTGTTTTTAGTGATTTTCTTTTTGTTTAGAAAACATTTTGACATGTTAGACCTTCCTCTTGTTTACATTTAATGTTATGGTATTATGCAGTTAGGTAAAACTGTTTGTAGTCTAAAGCATATTGGTAGACAATAGCTTACTAACTACATCAACTTCAAATATAAGAGCTATGAAATATTTCTTAGAGGAATGTTATTGGTTTGGTTGAATTGAAATTTTACAAGCCAGTCCTTCCTCCATTGAGCCACCTGGGTTTGGTTAGAGTAGAGATGAGCTGCTAAGTTCTGGTCATCCAGATTTTTGAGCCTCTCAGGGCATATCAGGTGTAGTTAGAGATGGAGCAAGGCAGCGGGCCACCTTACCTGACAGGTTTGTGTGACTGTATGGAGGATAGGCAAAGAGAGAAATGCTGCTAAGGGCCACAATAGGAAGCTGTGGAGAGCCATAATTTCTTACATCCTAAAGAGACATGGCACATAGCTGATTAAGCATTGACAGACAAAGATGAAGATGTTTGTAAAAAAAAAAAAATTATAACATAAAAGTTATTGAATCATCACAAGATGTCACTTCTGATTTTTTTTTATTTCACAGGTGTATATTTTCTGAATTTGTTTATTATTAATTATTCACAAAGAAAAATCTTACAACCTCTTACCAATGCATGAAGTGACCTTTTTTTTTTCTTTTCTTTTTTCTCTTTAATGAAAAATGGTCCCAACTGCATATAACTTGTCTACAATCCCTGTACAAGTGGTCATTGACCATACATACTGCCTACTTAATGTGTCTACTTCATTCCCAGCTGTGTTATCTTAAGAGCAGGCCCTTCTCTGGTTTAGCTTTTTAATTGACAATGACTTACATCATAGATTAACATCCTTGAAAGAATAAACAATTTGAGAAATACAATTATTTTATAAAATCTTAATTGTTGAATTTTTTTATTTAAGAAATTTGCATGATCTGAGAAAGGCACTCTTGTATCTAGGATATAATTTCAGTCCCTGAAAAAGATTTTTTTCAGTGTTAATACTTACAATTTAAAAAAAAAAAAAAACAGTATCTAAAGCTTACTTCTTGTTCAATATGAATAGAGTAAACTTTATTTCAAGTAATTTCTGTTTTTGGGAACCAATTGTAATATTTATTATCCTTACTACTAATCATACATGGCAGTTAAGAATAAATTTGAAGTACATTAACATATAACAATCTCCAATGCAAGAGGCAACTGATCCCAAAACTGTGCGCCATGGAAAAAAGGTAATGTTTTGTGAATGTCAAAGTATTATCCACTTATAGTTCTTAAATGGAATGAAACACTAAATGCACATTGATATGTTCGGCAAATGCAACATGTCCACAAAAGTTTAATCTAAAAATCGCCTTGTGTTTGTCAGTAGGAAAAAATGTTCTCTTTCATGATAATGCAAGGCCATATAGAACAATAACAACATGGAAAAATTTAGGTGCTCAGTTGGTTTGTTCTTTCCCCACCTGCCATATTCACCTGACCTTGCATCGACTAATTATGTTTTTGATCACTACAAAGCACTCTAATGGGGGAAAATTTCCTCTAATGAAAATTAAATTCAAGAGTTTGTTAAAACCTGTGGAATTTTACTTAAAAGGTATTGGAGAGCTGCTTGATAGTCATTGTAAATAATGGTAAATGTGTAATTGAATAAAATGTCATTGTACTTTATTTTTTGAAGAATAAAGTTGATAAAAAGTTATTTATGACTTAATCTAATAAATTCTTCAAAAGTTTAATGAATGGCCTTATTTAGCACAAGGACATAACTATTTAATTTGCACAGTTTTACACTTAGACTGGTCCACATGTTTAAAAAAAAATAGAGAAAATTTGTTTTGGAAATTTCCTAGGCCATGATACTTGTCAGAATCAAAAAATATTGATTTATCAATTTAGAAGAGGAGTGCTATTTATCATATTGATTGATTATCAAATCAATCCCTGACTTTTATCTAATATGATACAGATATTTTTTATTTTTGAGAGAAACATTATGAAGAGTCTTGGTTTTGAATTTAACTTCAGCTTTGTTGATATTCTTACTATTGATGGAGGTGTAGGTGACCTAATGCTAAACAGAAAATGGTATTGGTAAACCAAAGTCAAATTCTGGCTGAGATAATATACACTTTGTACTGCTACTCTTGGAAAAGACATCTTTTTTTTTTTTTTTTCTCTGGCTATGAGTAAAAGGACAGGGTAAACTAGACTCTCTACCCTTGATTGCCTACCAATCTGGGAATGAGGCCAACTCTTAATTCAAAATCAGGAGTGGGATGCCCATCCCAAACAAAAAAAAAAAACTTGTTAAAATATAATTAGTGTGCAAACCAAATGGCTGATCCAATCCATGAACTCTTACTTTTTACTACAAATTTCGTTTTTTAATTTTTTTTGTTTTTTAGTAACTTTGTAATTAAGGAATAATAGTTGAAAATAGTCAGATCAGGGATTCTCCCAATCTTTATACTTTATATCTCAGCACTACTTAGGTTTTGTTAACTGGAAAGGTGAGCATTAGGGATACCTTTCATCCACATCTGCCTGAGACTCTATCATATGCTAACTCAATTTTTTCAAACTCCTATGGTGCTTTATGACAGTTATCTGGATCTTGTTACTGAGAGGATAATGTAAGCATTTCTCTCTATATGGTCTGCCATACCAGATTTTTGTGCATCTTTGACTTTAGCCTTTTCTTATTGGGGACTGATAATGACTCCATCAAAGACATTAGATGAAAAAAAAATTGATACATATTACAATTTTGAGCTTTCAGGATATTGATATCATTCAATGTTTTTGGCTGAGACATTCTCAGATATATCACAATACTCCTGGTATTTTCATTTATGAAATACAGCATTGATGGAAGATTAGAAAATTGAAAGAGGCTGCATTCATAAGCATAGCAGAAAAAGATATGAATCATGCCATATTCTTTTTTTTTTTTTTTTTTAAAAAACAAGAAAAGGATTAGAAAGACACCTTAGTTATAAGTTAACCCAGTCGATATATTTGCTACTATTTTTTCTTTTTTTCATAATTTTCAATGTTAAAAAGGCCTTTTCTCAAGTGTACAGTTCAGTGTATAGATTGTACACATGAGGAAAACGAAGAAAAATGCCAATACAGAAACCATAAAATAATTTTGGAATTAAAATAGAATTATTTTATTTTATCTTTCTTTCTTTTTTTTTCTTATTCATTCATTCATACATTTTATAACATTCAAAATCATAATTATTAGTTTTGACTAGTATTTACTTTCATCTTGTTTTTACTAGTATAAAAACAAATTTGGGGCTGAGAAAGGCTAGATTTGACGGATTTCAAGTTAGATTTAATCTTTTGTAACCTGGAGGGCACTTGTAATTTAATCAGAACTTCTGGTGTGTTCAACCATACTTCTTTGAGGTAAAAGGATTTGACTTTGTCTTGATGCAAGTCTGTCCTTTTATTTCTGATTTACACTGTGTTATGGTGAAACACACCTATTCTATAGTTAATAGACTCTCCCACCTAATATAAGTAGGAGTAGTAATAGAAATGAGGGTCAGTTGATGTTGGACGACAGTCGAGTACGAAAGTATCAGTGACCACAAGAAGATTACTCTGCGTAATACCTATTATATCAAGTTCCTAATGTTTTGTATGTCGAACCTATTTTAGGACCAATTTAGTACAATACAAGCCTCCACTGCAAAAGCACTCCACAACACACTGACTACTCTCTGCCACAGAACAACAACAACATGAGTAAAGATGTTTTAAAAAGTAAATAAAATGTTAAAATACATATTAGTCAAGATTTCTTTCAAGAAATTGTCATTTGCAAGGTTTTGTAAAGGTAGAAACTACCCTATTTTTAAAAAAGCTCCCCCTCCATCTAAAGATTCTTGACAAAATCCAAAGCAGAATCTGCAATGTTATCAGTGCTGACTTGGCATCTCAGCTTTAGTCATTTTCCAATACTTTAACATAACTTCCCTGTATTTTTTCTATAAATATTTTCATGGCAATTGTTCTGATGAGCTTTCTTCTTTGCTACCTTGACTTCATGAAGTGTAGCACTAGATTGGCGACAAGGTTGTATTTTATTGTTGAAATTGATAAGTGTAAGTTCTATTCTAATGGTTTCTTCTGTTCCACTTCTTACCTGTGGAACTCTGTTCTGGCTTATTGCTTTCCTGTTAACTATGATCTTCCAAGATTTCAATGCATTGGCAATTGTCATTTATCTCCTTGAATCCTTCCCTATTAATGTCCTTTCTCTTCACTAAAGTTTACTCAGTTTCCTTCGCTCTCAGTAACCCCTTGTGTCTTGGTGGGTTTATCTCCTTACTTTGGTGAAATGATGATTTAGTAAATTATAGAAATGTCTTAAGCAGATACTCTTTTGTACCAGATACAAATGTTGTCTGGAATAGTTATACCAGTGGGAATTTTTCATTTTATAAAGTACTATCTTAAAAGCAGCACTCCGTGTGTACTTTTAAGCTAGCTACTGTGGAGGGATAATTGTGTCTCTGTCACAAAACTAAAGTAATCTCTGGTCCAGTTTAGAAAACAGCAATAATAATTTTGAAGAAATAAAATTGATTTCCTCAATTCACAAAGTTCTGGAGATATATTAAACTCAATTTAAAACAAAATTTTTTAAATTTACAAAGTTTTTGTATTACTTTACTCAATATAAATTAAAAAACTTTTAAGACCACTAATTTTTTTCAGTTATTTTAAAATTTGAATTTTTAACTGTTCCCACCTCATTTGGACACAAATCCCAATACTGGATGTTCAAGCAACAGATGAAGGGCTGTGGTATATGTTTATGTAGAGCAAGTATGGCCCAAAATAGAGGGGTTTTCAGACACATGGATAAACAGACAGAATTTGCCATTTATTTAGAAGAAGTATAGTATTCTAGATAAACATTCTGCCAAGAATTTTTATATGATTTTAATAAACTGAACAAAATAATAATGATATAAATTATTTGAAAAATAATGTCATACCAAATATGCACTGTGCCACGGTGGAATTGAAGGAATTAATTAACTCTTGCAAGTACTTTTATTTGGTACACTTTTATTTTTGCTATTTTTAATTAAATATAAGAATTTTAGATGTGAATTTATTTTTGAGTAATTGTTTTTTATTTATTTTCAAGACTTCCCATTGAGAAAAGGGTGGCTGCTCAAAAACTTTGTACTCTTGTTGATCTCATTAACCAGGTAAGACGTGTTTTTTTTTTTTTGTGTGTGAATGAAAGAAGTTCTTGTAATTAAACCTACTTTTCAATGATGCAACCATTTGTTGTGTTCCCAAATTAGTTGAAATAATCCATACTTGATGTTGTGTTTCCCAGAGTGGATGGACCAGAAAAATATTTACAAAAATTCTCATAATCTAGACTCTTCATTTCTGTCTGAATTTCTGGGATGAAGAGTTATCATTATTTACACTATTTACATTCGGACTATTGTCCTCATTTTTGTTATCACAACTTTTCAACCATTGTGTCCTCTGAACTTCAACAGGTATATATCAATCCAGGTAACTTACAGAGAATTCTGAACTGAACACTTTATCCTATGAAAAAATAGCTTAGTGTTGGATTTGGTGAATTTAGTGGTATATTAATTGTGAGTTCGATCCTTGAGCCAAGCAGTGAATAAAACAGGGTGAGCAGTAACTGAGCAGTACTAAAATAAAAACTATATGAGATATCCCTAGACATGGGCATTGGAATAAGAACAATCTATCTCTGGTGATTAAATAAAGTGTTCAGTTTGGAATTCCTTGTAGGTTATCTGGATTGACATACACCTGATGATGGCCTGATAGCAGAATGGCTGAAACATGATAACAGCAACAAAAATGAGGTTAATAGTCTTAATGTAGATAGTGTAAATAATGGACTCTTCATATAGGAATATTATAAAACTGATAAATCATAAAATCCAGCTATTATTCAGCTTTCACCATTTTGTTAAAGTTACTTGGTACTCACAATGGAAACTGATGAGGCTGCTATTATAAATGTCATTGTGCCAAGGGCAGACAACCGAATACATGTTTTGGTTAAAGGAATAATTCATCTTAAATACTATTTTAATATTCTGAATCTTTCACCCTCAGATACACCTGCAAAACTTTTCATTTAATAACTGGCATACATCTGTTATACTTTCTGCATCTTCTACTCACAGTATTTTTGTTGGTTTGATTTATTGTAAATTTCATAAATTTCACAAAATGCATTCAGTCTTTGTGCTTTTTGGTTAAACTCATCTTTTAATAGCCACACATTGTATAAGCAGAATAATGGTGATTCCCATATTCAGCAACAATAAATCTTCTTGTAGGTGCCATTTTATTCTTACTATGGATTTGTTTTATTAACAGTCAAGTGTAACAAATATCGGCAAAGATGGACACAAACTTGCTCACAATAAGATGTAGTGTTAAAAGAACAGTTTTTTTTGTGATACGGCTTTTTTTACCTTCACTCTTTGGCAATGTTTGTTTTTAAAAAGCAATGGTTAGAATTGGAATAAAACCTAAACATATGATGAAAGTGAATTAATACATTTTTATTTATTTAGAAGAATTTGAGAATTTAAAACAAAAATATTAAACTCTATTTATTTATTAGATTGTTTATTTGCAAGAATAATTTTATATGTACAACAATCTGTCTGTGGATAATGATATTTACAACATTCTAAAAACTAATACAATTAGTACTAATGCAATTCAATATTTATCATTTACCAGTTTATAAAGAAATTTGCAAACAATTTTTTATTCATAAATTTATAAACATTTTCTAAATTATTAAAATATGTGAACCAACTATAAAGAAATCCTTATTATTTACCATTTTATATAGTCTTAATCAGTTGGCAATTAGCCAATGTTTTGTTCACCATTCCAATATATAATAGTGTAAATAATCTAATAAATAGTGTTTATTATTTCTGTTAATTCTCAACAACAAAGAAAATGTATAAATTCACTTTCATATGTTGAGGTTTTATTATGATTCTAATTATTGTTTTTTAAAACAAACATTGCCATAGAGTGAAAGTAGTGAAAAAAAGTGGTGTCATGGGAAAAACTTTTTGACACATTATCTTATTGCAATATTTTCAGTTGACAATAATACATTAACTGTTTCATTTTGGTTTGACATTTCATAATGGATGACACTCTTCATATCTCACCTAATATGGAGCATAACTTTTTTCAGGTGTAATCTGGGTTTGGGGATAGATTTTTTTTTTTTTTTTTTTTTCAGTAGGTGATAACCATAGTTGTTATTGTTGGATATAATTATAGAGAACCCACATTTCATCACTGGGGATGATTCTACCCAGGAAAGGTTCGATAGTAATTCTACTATTCAATGACCAGCAGAGGGACAACCCTTTGATTAAGCTGATAATTAGTAAGGTGATTGACCTACTGATCAAGCTTAAACATTCTTCTGAATTCATAAATTTTATGTTTTATGATTGAAGTGTTACTTGTATTGAACTGTTTCACTATTTGTTCAGTTTCCTTGAAGATTTTATTCAACTCCAGTTTGCAGGAACTCAATATTGACAGAACTCAGTCTTCCAAATTGAAGGAAAAACTTTTAGAGAATTTCTCTGATTGAAACTGGCCAAATTATTCGTGACATGTTTGTCATTTAAAGCTCCATTTCAATCAACAGGGCATTCTCGGTATGACAATAAACTACATCCAACAGCAAGGCCTCTGATCAGAAGGTTTTGAGGAGTTTGGAACCAGCTCTTAATTGTTGGTGTTCTCAGGTTCACTCTGGCTTTTGGTGGTAGCACTTGTTAGGGTCCTAGTTATGGGCAAATAGTTGCCCTCCCATGCACAAACTGGGATCAAACACTATGAAAGTGTAAAAAAAAATTATTACTAGCAATGAATTTTTGAAGGAAAAATTACCAGCAATACATTTAAAAAAAAAAAATATTACCAGCAATACATTTAAAAAAAAAAAAAAATTACCAGCAATACATTTAAAAAAAAAAAAAATTATCAGCAATAAATTTAAAAAAAAAAAAATATTACCAACAATACATTTTTGAAAAAAAAATACCTGCAATAAAAATCTTGTCAGTATTATATAACCCATTGAGATTGATATGCCAGAAAACAAACCAAATCAAATCAATAGACAGAATAGATATTTGTTGCTGCTTCTATTTCTGAAAAGCTCTTTTTTGAATTCATGCAGCAATGTCTGATCAAAAATTTTTAAAGGGCCATTCTGATATTAAATAGTCTACAAAGAAAGAACATTAATTATAATGTGAAAATTAATGGTTATTTTACTGAAAAAATTACCCTGTCAAAAATGCAACTAGACTTTCTTTGCATATGAACAATCTGCTTTAAAAAGTTAATTCTTTTCTTGTACAATTGGTCCTACTAAGTGACTATTCCTTGTAACCAGTTCTTTATTTGACTGGAATTCTTTTGTTTTTCTCTTCATGGCTTTGAGATTTTAATATTAATGCCAGTGAAAAATAATAAAACAGTATAAAAGATTGCATCCATGTATTTGTTATACCATAATACCTATTCTATTGTAATAGACTCTCCCACAGATAATAAGTAGCAGTGGCCAGTTGGGCTCAGTGGTGTTGAGCGAGTCAGTCGATATCGGACATTGAAGTACCAACCATCACAACTAGATTGCTGCGTCATTGACTCTTATTTCAAGTTCCTAACGTTTTCTATGTCGAACCTAATTTAGGACGACTTATACAAGCCTCCACTGTGAAAACTACTCTACAACATTGGCAACGAGGGATTCGTTTCTCACATGGGAAAAGAAAAAAATTTTCGTTTACTCTACAACAGTATTGAAGATTAGGAAACAGATTTTATAGATTAGTAAACCCAAAATTACTGTCTTCAAATACTAGTTTATGAAATAAAAACTTAAAATTCAATTTAAAAGACCAATAATTCCTCTCAGTGAATTTGATATCATTTTGTAATTTTGGCAGCTTTACAACTTGTTCATATAACCTATTTGGAAATAACCAGAGAAACATTTCAGTCTTGTGTGGAATTTTTCCTTATTTCTTTGATATATTATGTAGATTTATGTTTTTTTGATATATGAGTAGGTGCTGAAATGTTCTTGGCCCAACCAAGAAGGAATTTCCAAAACAAATTCTTATGTTTGGTCAGATTTTGGTAAGTGATTTTGTCCAAGAACTTTTCACTACCTTCTCATGATACATATTGTAGATTTGTTTTCTCATGTGTATATATAATGCATGTATATATAATGCATAAATCTGTTGTTTTAGGCTGTAGGTGATTCGATCTCCGATATGTTGCTGATTGAGACTATTCTACATTCCTTGGGATGGGATGTGGAGAAATGGAGCAACATTTACCAGGATAGACCATATAGTCTTTGCCAAGTCAAGGTAAGATGAGGACATTTTCTATTCATGTCCTTTTGGTGATATGACATTAAAGACACATTCATTTCAGTTGACTGACATGTTAAGACATGGGATGAGTGCTTAGTATTGTGCAGGACTTCCTCTAACCTGGTAAAGAGCAACAACTCAATGTGGCACTAGACCTGGAAAGATGTTGAGCCATGTACTCTTGATAGTTGTCAATATGTCCCTAATATTTGTTGGTGCAGGATCTTGTGTGCAAATAGATCTCTTTACCTCACCCCCACCATGTTTGATTGGGTTCATATCAAGTGAACATATTGCCTACCCCATTCATTAGGTGTATTCAGAATGCTTCTTGAACCAGTTCTCAGCATCTTAACTTCAATGACATCGTGCATTATCCTGCTGGAATAATCCCTCATTGTTGGGGTACATGGAGGGCATGAATGAGTACAAATAGCCCAAATGCAATGCAATGTAGCAGTTAACAGTGATGATGTATTCAAGAAGGCCAGCAATTTCAACTGATGTCATTATAGGATTTCTGTTTTTGAAAGGAGAAAGTACTACAAACATTCACAGGAGGCTAGTGAATGTTTATAGGAAGCTCTACTTGAAGCAATCATTGTAAGCTGATAGATGGTATTTATCAATTCACCCACAGGAATTGAATGTGGCACAAGGCCCTTGTAAGCTGATAGATGAGTACAGTGAATGGCAATCTGAGAAAGAAAAGAGAAACTGACCTTAGTAACAGGCCCTGCCTCTTATAAAATCCAAGGACTGGACACTGATATTAGAGAAATAAAAATATTTCAGAAATGAATAGATCGGCGAACACTTCCATAACAAAAGAGGACAGCTGGAAATACACAAAAATATTGAAGTACCAGAAATATTAAAATCTGAAGTGAAATCAGCAATGGCCAAATTGAACAGGAATAAAACAACAGGACCGGATGGAACTGTAATAGAGATTATGGTAGCCTTAGATGATTTTAGTAATGACATGATTAGAGACATAATCATTAAAATATACAACAATGGTAATATACCAGAAGACCTAAGTAGATTCCTTTTCACACTACTGAAGAAAGCCAGGTGCAAATGAATGTGAACTCCATTGGACAAGTTTTGTTATATGGCTCAGCCTAATGAGCCATATAACAAAACTTATATGTGAATTTGCTAAAGACACTGGAACAAGGAATGCAATATTTATGCTCAAATTGATATCAGAGAGAAAACAATACAAATGCAGAAGGATGTGTGTCTGTGTCTTATAGATTATGCAAGAATGTTTGCTAAAGTACATCATAAAGCAGTATTGGAAGTGCTAGGTAACATTGACATATTTGGGAAGAATATTAGAATAATCCAGAACCTATACTAGCAGCAAACTGCTTGCATACGAATAGAAAATATGTTCAGTAAATATACAAAATTAGAAAGGGGTGTAAGACAAGGATGTGTCTTCTCACCAGACTTATTAAAACTATATAATTAGGTGATTCTGAGAGAACTGAAAGTCCTATCAATATTCATTATGATGGCCACAATCTTAACATGAAATATGTAGATAACATAATGTTGATAGCAGATAAAGAAATTCAACTACAAAAACTCTGATAAGGAAAGTGAGAAGATAGGATGCATGGTTGTTAGCAAAAGGAACAGTCTAACATGCAAATTACAAATTGGAGATACCAAAATCAAACAAGTACAATAATTTAAATATCTGTCAAGTATTTTAACAGAGGACAGAAAGTGTGACACTGAAATCTGAAGGTGTATTGGGATGATAGTGAAAAATGCCTTCCAAAAGATAAGCAAAGTATTAAAAACCAGAAAAAAATTTGTTAGAAACAAAGAAAAGAGTACTGAACTGTTATGTAATATCAGTCCACTTATATGGCAGTGAATGCTGCACATTCTCCTTGCAGATGAAGAAGAGACTTGAAGCAACAAAAATATGGTTCTACAGAAGGATGTTGAGAATACTATGGATAGAAAATATGAGCAACAAAGAAGTGTTAGAGAAAATGGAAACAAAAAGGAAACTTACAGTTATCAGGAAGAAAGTTGAAATTTCTAAGGTATATAATGAGGAAAGAGGGCTTGAAAAATTTGATACTCACTGGAATGGAAATGGCACATAGAAGACGATTTGAGCCAAAGACAGCCACACTAATTGCTAACTCATAATTTTTGTACTTTCTGTAATAATAAAGATCACTTTTTGTAACACAAAAAAATAAAATTCCTTTTTAACTTAAGAGTTGAAAGATCAAATTTTTTATTAGTGGTCCAGTATTTCTGTATGGCCTTTTTTTCAGTATCACTCTACTTACAATGCTATATCATCCACCAAACAGCATTAACAAAAATGCAATAACTTTTTTCTTTTTTGGGCCCTCAAAGATCATAAAATTTACTGATGAAAGCATACAGCTCATCACTCTTGATTTTGGGGTTAAAGTTATAAAATTAAATTACCAAGGTAGCACAAAAGTGTGTGTGTGTGTGTATAGGCTAAGTTTTCCTTTTGTCTTTAATTTTTTTTTTTACTACTACTACTACTACTACTCATACTACTACTATACTCTATCCACTTACTACTAATCCACTACTACTACTACTCTATCCACTACTACTACTACTACTCTACTACTACTACTACTACTACTCTATCCACTACTACTACTATCCACTACTAATACTACTCTAGCCACTACTAATACTACTCTAGCCACTAATAATACTACTCTTACTACTAATAATACTACTCTAGCCATAAATACTACTGATGATGATGTAATACTTTTGTTTCTACTACCACTAGGCAATAAATTACTACTAAAACTAGTATTCTACTAACTAATGATGATGATGTAAATTTTTGTTTCATATCTGTTTTGAATGAAAGGATTCTGAAGAATGTCATATCTGTTTTGAAATATTAGATGATTTCTTTTTAAAAATCTCTGGCAATTATTTTTCTAGTGCAAATCTAAACATGAATCTATTTGATGTTTATTCAATTAAACTTTGTATTGAGTAATATTTTAGACAATAACACAGCTGACTTTTGACCTGTTTTTGTTTTATTTACAATTAATTTTTTTTATTTTTATTTTTTACTTCATGTTGCCCAGAACTACAAGTATAATATTACTATGGCTGACTATTTTTCTCCTGTTAGGTGAAAGACAAGTCAATATTCAAAACAACTTTTGATGAACAAAGACTAATCGAACCAAAAGAACTTCAAGATGCAATTGATGAGCTAGTTGCCAAATATACAGAAGGACGGTCATTTGTCAGGTGAGTCCGGCATGATGAATTTAACATGAAATTAACATTTCCACTGCTGTAGATGACTTAAACATCATTATGGAACTTACATTGACTGCTGTCAATATATATATATATATATATATATATATATATATATATAAAATATGAGGGTCCAATGGCCCAGTTCTTAGAACCAAACTGCCAGACTACCTGTACATGATTTTGATTATAGTGGTGAATGTTTGTGCAGAATCAACCACACTTTTTGAAAGAGGTGAATACAGAACAGCACAAAGAATATGGAGAACACATGGTCCCCCAAACATCCCTCCTCGTATTTTGAATTCAAAGTTGTCCCTTGCATAGACTGGTGGCCACCTAAGTCTATAGGACCTAGTCTGTCCTGCTATTTACCCATAGTTGTTGGGAGAAGAGTAGGATTCGTATCTTTCCCAAGAGTAGCATGTAAGTGAATGTAGTGAACTTAACTGGAGTTTGAACTCTGCTCTCCAATTCTTCAATCCGAGCCACTATCCATTAGGAGGCATAGTGGAGTAGTGCAGATATATGCTTTGAAGATTGTTACATGTCGGTAACTAGTGTTTGTGCTATTTCCTAAAAAACTTTGTAGACGTAAACAGGGTGCGATGGAAATTATGCAAAAATAAAAATAACACTGACATCTCATTTTTAACAGATATATTTACCATAATTATACAAAAATATTTTGAAATACTAAAAAGTAAATTCATTTAATAAAATACCCATTGGCTTCAACCATGTCTTCCAGATGACTTCAGAATCTTCTGCAACTCTTCTGGATGGTTTCCTTGTTTAAGTTGGTGAATGCTGCCATAATCCTTGCCCCTCTGTTAATCTTTGGTGTTACAAAGAGATTTGTTGGTCTAACACTTGACTGTTCCCTACACATAATAATCAAGAAGCTTGTAGTCTGGGGTGTTAGGTGACCAGATGAAAGGGGTGATGTAGTCACAGAAATTGTTTGGCAGCCATGACTGGGGTCTCCTGCTTGTGTGGTATGGTGCAGTGTCCTGTTGCCTGACATAGGGTCTTTTGGCAACCACCCTCTTAATCCAGAGCAGCACTACCTCTTCAAGGCACTTGATGTAGGCCTCCATCTTGGGTCTGAGGCTGTCATTAACAAATTTGGTAGGTTTTTTTAGTTAGAATTATAATAGTGAGTTTTTCAAGCTGCTGTACCTTCATAATTTAGACTCATTCAGCTCTTTCTGAATCAGCTGCACTGTCCTCAGATTGACACTCAAAAACTCTGAAATGTTCATATTGGAGCTTCCAGTGTGAATTCCAAGCAGTACAGCTTACCATTTCCAAATTTCTGGCAGAATGAATTGCATCATGGTGCTCTTTTTCTCACATACTGTGCAGTTGGCAAAATCAAAAACAATGTGCATGTGCAAAATTAAAAATATAAAATGTCAACAATTTACCCATCACACCTTGTAGTAGTGTAAAAATAAAACTTGTTTTGTGATATGTATTGGGGGTATCGTTTAGCTTAGTCTGTATGGCAGAGTATCTGATCTAAACCAGAAATGGTGGTGTTCATGGGAAATTGCTGTCTGTCTTTATATTCTTTTATTTTCAGTAGATGGCGATTTCCCCCCCAAAAAAATGGGCCAGCACAGCCAGGCGACAATGTTATAACAATGTAAGAGGGAAAGTGTTGTCTGTCATGTCTTTAATTCATCATTATTAAAGGAAATTATCAACCATTTCATTTTCGTTTGGGTTGCTTTTCATCAGAATGATTCAGAGCACTATTCTATGGCTGTTAGTAAGTAGTGTAGATCAGAAATAAAAATTAAGCTCCAAGCAAGACACACACACTCATCACTTTTATCTTGGGAAGTGTGTTTGTTTGTAACAGCTTCTGTACAATTTCAGCTACAGGAGCTAGTAGTCACAACAGATCAAATCTTACCATATAAATTTATTTCTTTGAATGTTTGAGGAAAAATAAGGTGTAATTTTAAATGGTTAGGTCTGTTTCTCTGCTGCCAATTGTTCCAGTAGCTCAAATGGTAGAGCTGCTGTCACGTGTAAACATGCTTACCAAGTAAAGAGGAGAGTATTTCATGTCTTACCTGTTTATTTCCGATCTGTGTGATTTACTGACTAGGTAGTTGCAATTAACAGCAATTGAAATTAAGATAAAAGAAATAAGTAAAAAAAAAAACTATTGATAGTACAGGGAAGTTGTAAAATAGTTCTTGGTTAAAAGAGGTTGCAATATTCTTAGATATTTATGATGAAAGATCATACAACTAGGCATGAGAAAATATTGTAATCAAAGTTGTTGGTGTTAAATTTGGAAAAAAAAAATCGGATACCTGAACGTTGTGGTAGCTGGAGTGATACTTGAACTTTGGAAGATCAACTGTTGTTTGCTATGTATCCAGATGGCTAGACATTTGTATAAGGGTGGGGAGCTGATCAAATAGGGACTGGCCTTGAGTAATGAAATATCCATGCTATTCATCATATCTACCCTGCAGTTCAACACACTTAGTGCATAGTTTCTTAAATTTATTTAATTCTTAGAAAAAAATCCTAATATTTAGTCATGAAAATACTGCTCTTCTGTTGCTATCACTTTTAAATCATTTGAAAAATTTTCCTCCCTTTAAAATTTCTTTTATGGTTTGGAAACGGCAAATTATTAGATGGAGCAAGAGGTTTGTGTAGTGTGGATTGTGTATGCACTCTAACTGCAAATTCTTCAAAATCACTATTCTCTTGCTGGCCCTATGAACAGGTGCATTGTCCTACAAAAAAGACAATAACTTTCTGCAGATTCCCTTAACATTTTTCTTTCAATTCTTTATTTAACTGGCACTGTAATTTGTATTCTGCATTAACTTTGGTCTTTCTATAGAGGATCAGTCCTTAAGATAGCTTCATTATCCTCCAAATCTGTCACCTTCCATGTTGACATTTGAGTCTTGAATTTCTTTGACCATGGAGAACCCTCATTCCACTAATGTATGGACTGGTCTCTGGATTTTATCAGAATAACAAGTCATTCCTAAAACAAGACCAATAACTTTCTAAAAAAAATGCTCTGCAAAATCGGTTTCAGATAATGTTCTTGGCATTGAAACATTTTGTCATTCACTTTGCTGACAGCTTCTGCACCTCCCAACTGCTCATGAATTTCAAACTCAATGTATTTCTTAGATGTCTCTAGACTCTCAGCAATTCTTTTGATTGAGATCTGTCATATGGCCAAAATAAGGTCATGAACCTGACCAATCATTTCAGCAGTTGTCACTGCTGAATGCCTCTTGGAGCATATTGCATCTTATATTGCATCTTAATTCCACATTAGAAGTTGAAACTTTGCTTTTTCACAGTTGAATATGACAGGCACCTGTCACCCAATATTTTCATCATACACCCATGGGTTTGCTTTGAAGTTTTCTTCTGCATGAACATTAATTCTTTTATGTTCCATGTCCATTCAGGATGTGTGTGATCATGGCTCTCTACTACTTCCTACCTTTTATAGCTCTTAGTAAGGTTTGTCTGTTTACCATTCCTCTCACTCTGTTCTGCCATCCATTTGCATAAGCTTGTTAAGTAGGTTACCTGATATTTCCCCTCTGTTGCTCTTCAGTATGACTTGTGAGTGTCAAATTCTCTAAGCCCTCTTTCCTCATTATGCATCCTAGAAATTTCAACTCTCTTCTTCTGATTCTAAATATAAGCATCCTTTTTGTTTCTATTTTCCTTAAAACTTCTTTGCTACTCACTTCTTCAGCCCATGATATTCTCAGCATCCTTCTGTAGAACCACATATCTGTTGCTTTAAGTTTCTTTATCTGTGAGAAGATTGTCTAACATTCATTGCCATAGAGAAGGACTGAAATTACATATAGCTCATCACTCTTTATTTTTTAATGATGTCACATTTTTTTTACTGAATTCAAAAATCTGTGCAAGAATCTTGCAAATGGACTCCTTCCTACATAAAATGACACTCTTCTCAGCAACAGTGATCAATAATGCTCAGATTTTGGAAATGACATATGTACTTTATATTATTAAAAAAATACCTAAAACTACCAGGTAAACACTAGTTTTTATGTATAATAATTTTAAGAGAGTAAAGGGTCTTAATTTGTCATGCAGACACGTTGACAGGGAATCTGAATTCAGAGTAGCCCATCTATAAAACTAGTTGCCTGTAGTGAACATATGTCAGTACAGATGCAAAAGAGGCTCCAAATTGCATCTGGATATGTTTGTCAACATCAGTTATATCGGGGTTTCCTCTGTTAGCAGTGGGACAGCTTGGCATGTCTAAATACGGACTCTCTGTGACTGGTCAAGATCAGGGTCGTTGTAAGATGCCTCATGCTAATAAAAGCAAAGGGAAAACCAACAGTCAGCAGTTGGCCAGACACAGTGTTGTGTGAAATCGGTTCTGTGGGCACTTTAGAAACAAAGTTGCTGTGGTTTTTGAGGCAGTGTCATTTTTGTTATCTCCCATCTCTTTCCCCTCTCTGCTATTACCCCCTGTAGTTGGTTGGAGAGCAATCGGTTTGCTGTTACCCGCCAAACTCGACACACACTTAGTTTTTTTCTATCTTGATAAGACAATGTTGTAATGTAAGTTAAGTCTTCTCAACTATTTTGACCATATCTGGAGGGAGAAGAGATGGATTCATGTCTTTTTTTTTAAGTTCATAAAGTCAAAGGTCATGCAAAAAACTTGACCTGCCAATTCTATTCTTTATGCTGGTAAATACTATACTACTAACCATATATACATTTTATATGAGGGAGAAAGAAATAGTTGTCCTACAAAGTAGGTATATCAATGATATCAAATACAGAATCACTTACTGGATAAGAAATTTATTAAAAAATAAAAAAAAAAAAAATAAAATCTGCCCTTTAAACGGGATGCATTTAATTTAAAAAGGAACACTCCTAATGAAGAAGAAAAGATACCAAAAAAACACTTCGCTTGTGGAACACTCTTCTGGCTTCTTGCTTCCCAGTCAACTTTGATCTTCAAAAATTTAAATGCAATGTCAATCGTTATCTTCTATCTTCTTGTCCATTTATTGTTCTCTCTCCTTAATGGTGTTTGTTTCTCATATTCTCTAACACTCAGTAACCACTTGCATCTTTGTGACTTTATTGCCTTGCTTAGGATGAAATGATTAAAAAATTTAAAAATATGAATACATTGGAGAGCTCTTCTATGTTAATAAAGGAGAGAAACCAACAATACATAAAGACATGGAAATCTCCATAATATTAAAATCTGAGGTAAGATTAACACTGACCAAAATGAACTGAACCAAAACAGCAGGACAAGGGATACAGAGCAACTTTGTGTGAAGTGATTACGGGACAAAGGAGCAGTTAAAGGATCAAAAGTTACTTTGAACAACAATTGATAGGAAGTTGTAGAGAGCCATGATCACTCATATTCTGAAAGAATGCTTTTTAATTTTTTTTTTATTACTGAGAATGATTACTGGGTAAGGGGTGGGAAAATGGGTCTTGTATACCATCAAATATAGTATAACAGTGAAAAAACAAACTACTAAATTATAATTCAAAATAGAGGTGGGATTAAGGAATCATGGGATTATAAGGAGAGCAATCAGATCTGAGACTGAGAACTTGTGAATTATTTTAATTTTGAAATTTGAACATTGTCAGTTATTCTATTATTACCTTCATCTTAATTTCAGTTACTTTTTATCACAGTTCTTGTTTTGTCATTCATTTTTCTGATTTGTGTTGCTATCTAATTACTGAGACTGTTTAGCGATTGTGCTGTTTTTTTAATGACCAAACAATGACAATCTGAATATTACAATAAAAAGCAAGTGAAATTAAGATGAAGGAAATAATAGATGAAAATTTAATAATCTATATAACAAATGCAAATATCAGTGTGTCACATTTTTTCAACTTTACTCCTAGAGGCCATAGCCCAACATATCGTACCATTTTGGAATCAGGCTGACTCCATGAGCAAAAAAAAATAAAAAATAAAAAAATAAACATTCCGGCCTGGATCCAGACCCACAAAATTGAAATTTTGGATTCTCAAGTTTTCACTACTGTGATTGTTTTTGGTGATTTTTTTTATTTATTTTATTTTTTTTTATTTTATTTTTTTTATTTTTTTTTATTTTATTTTTTTTAATTTTAATTTTAATTTTTTTTTATATATATTTTTTTTTATTTTTATTTTATTTTGTTTGAACAAATTTTTTTGTATGGTAACAGTTTTTATAACTTGGAAATAAATTTGGGAATAATCAAAATTAATTGCGAAATCCTGCAAAAGTCACCCATGAAATAAATATAATTGTTTGTACAGAAAGTAAGTGCCTACGTACATCAAATTGTCTTGAAATTAAGTGGTGGCAGAAGAATTATCATTGAACTTTTAAAAAGTAAGCTTAAATATTAATGCAATACTTAAATGCAACAATCAATTTTGAGTTCTTCTGTAGTTTAGTGTTGCCTATTGCATCTACTCCTCCCTACCTATTGTGATGAAGGCCCAATCAAGAGCTCTCTGCAGGAGTTAGCTTAAATGCCACTTGATAGGCTGCCTTTTAAGCTAATAGAGAATATCTCATCTAAGAAATTACTAATTCTACTAGTGTAAGTAAATAATAAAGATGGTGATGTATCAGATGAATAATAAACTAATGACAAACACATTAAGACAGACTTCACGAGGAAAAGAGAAGTGAGTTAGACTTAGCAGAAGCTTATTTTTTATTTTCAATTAATGTTGCTTACTGATGACTGAGTGCAATAAAAATAAGAAATATGCCAAGAAATATTGGTAAAAAAAAAAAAAAGGAATATAATTCCTATGAAGTTGTCATATTTAATAAGTGAAGTTTAGTCTGTAAAATAAATAAAAGATCTTATAACATGAAAGACAATACAAAAGAAATTTAGTCAACAAGGCTGTTGGCCTGATACAAATTCCAGTCAAGTTTAAACAAATGTCAAGTGGGTGGCACTAATTTATAACTAGCTTACTAATAATAACATTGTTCAATTATCTGAATCAATGGTTGTTTTATTAATCACTGATTCTATTATATTTGGCTAAATTTTCTGTAATTGCGTTTGTTATACAGGCTGTCTGGACACACAGGCAAAAATTGATATTTTCAAGAAATGAAATTTTCAACAACATTTTATTGAATTGGAATATTAACAAATAATATTTTCAGTATAATTACCATCATTTGTGATGCAAACGTTGATGTGCTTTGCAAGATTAATGTGGACTCGATGCAATAACTCCACGTTGTCATCAATTTTAGCACATTCACTCTTTATGTGTTCAATCAAGTATGTTGCATCTGTGATTTTCATTAAGTACACCTCCTTTAGTATACTCCAAAAAATAAGTTCGTTTTTCTCTTTTGACAAAACCATGTTTAAACTGTGGAGCTAAAAAATATAATTAATGAAATTTCCTATGTACCCAGAGGACACACTGTATAACATCACTAAAATTAGATAGTGATATCTCTGATTTTTAAGTTCCTGGCTTCTTGTGAGTATATGGCTTATGGCTGTATCACATTGAAACATACAATGAAGGCAATTCTTTATAAGTGCTGCCATTTTGATTTCAAATGGATACGCTGCAGTACAGACTAAGCTAATTGACACCCCTAACACACAATATAATAAAAATACATCACAAAATAGTTTGTATTGAATGATAGTATATGTCTATGCTGGTTTGGAAATAGCATTAAGTGCTAGTTAATTTATAAAACAAACTTTAAGGACTGGCATTTCATAGTGTATTTTTTTTTTTCAATTCATTTTACTGCAAGCAATGCAGTAAAGCCACTAGGATACAAAGGGTTACTGAGCGTGGAAGAATTAGAAAACGGAAAGTTTACTAAGGAGCAAGAAGAAAAGAAGAGTAATCAGAAGGAGAGTAGATAGTGATTAACATTGCATTTAAATTTTTGGAGATTAAAGAAGGCTAAAATGCATAGAGCCGAAAGGGAGTTCTATAATCAATAAGTGTGAGAAAAGAAACTCTTAACATAGAACTTATGGCTACATCTAGCCAACTAAACTATATATTGGTGAGACCTTGATACCAGTCAAGTACTGTGCTTAAACACACAAATGGTGAATCGCTTATCCAAACTATAAAGGCAGAGGGATGCAACTTTATGACAGTTGGAAAGTGACTGAAGCCAAGATGCCAGATCAAGACGAATAATATTGATGATCCTTCTTTGGATTTTATCAAGGATCTGTAGAATATAGCAGGGGCACCAGATCATATATGGCAGCAATATTCTAAACAGATTGTCTAGCATGATATAGTGAGCCAACTTTCTTAGCAGCTGATCTAGTAATGGATTCAATATAGTCTTTCCACTTCATTTCAGCCAAGAATATGCAACAAGTCACTTTCTTGGAGGTTAGCATCAGCCATGTTGATGGAAGGCAGAAATAGGTCACTCAGATGATTAATAGAGAGCAGTTAGTTTTGGAGGTATTAAAATTAACAGGCCATCTTTTGTCCCAGTTAACAACAGACTGAAGGTCGTTTTTGACTTTTACCACCAATCTGACATTGAACAAATCAGACTTTGTATTGAGCAGGAGTAAATGATCATGTCATCAGCATAGATACCAAGTTAAGAGCTAATGTTAATGAGGGAGGTTGTTAATGAAAATTAAAAACCATGGATAGAACCCTGGGAGATACCTGCATTAGTGTAAACGAATCTAGAATTGTGGCCATTCAGGATCACTTTCATTTTATGATTTGATAAGAAAGACTGGATCAGTTTGATAATTTGGCCAGAGACACCATAACTTCAATTTGTAAAGAAGACCTAAACCTTGTCAAAAGCTTTCAAGATGTTTAAATATATATATATATATATATATATATATATGTGTGTGTGAACAGCAGGCAAAATAAATTTGGTAAAGATGTGTAACTATGATGTCTACAGCAGTGGAAGTGTTAAAGGACAACATTTTCCTAGTTTCCCTTTCAAATTTTAGAGTGAGGAAAAAACAACAGAAAAACAGACAAAGGATGCATACAGGATGGGTAGTAAATGAATGAGATGAAAGATTCCAACACTGAAGTCTGAATATACTGATAATTTGTAAATTGGGAGAGATAACATCAGGCGTAACTGATATATGTAGGAAAAAGTCTAGTCATCAACCCCTGTGGAATTCAGTAAAGATGATAGACCAACGTTAGAGGAGAAAATTATTGAAAAAATTGTGCACTGATAACCTCCACATACATGTGAATACCATCTGGGAATCCCTGATTAAGAAAGAACATTAGGTTTAAGGCTTCAAAATGAAACACCTGGATTAGCCTAGTGGATTAAAGTGTTAATTAAAACAACTGGTTCCTTGGCAGTTATGAGTTCAATTGCTGGCTCTGATCATACTAAAAAGTCACATATTTTGTTTTAGTAGAAAAAATGGTTAAGGTGAGTTTTAACTGATATTTCATATCTCCTAAGCATGGAAAGAACAATCATCCTCCTGTGAATTAAATATCTAAGAATCTTTACAAGGCATGATGACAACAGACGTCTAAAAGAACAGAGGGTACAATAGTCAAAATGTGAGTATAACCATCAAGATGAACGTGCTACCCTGAATATAGTCAGACCTAGATTAATTCATCATCTGAGCATTGCCAACAAGATTTGTTCTGGCTGGATTTACTGTTGATAACATAAGTTACTGCATATTTTGTAAAATTGGCTATTCAGACTATTTTTGTCTTTTTTCAGGGCATCTGGAACTGAAGATATTGTCAGGGTTTATACCGAAGCCAAAAGTCTTGTGAGTATGTTTTTAACCAAACTAAAAGTAGAATATGTATTTTGTGTTAGTTTCATAAGCTAAGGAATTTTATAGTTATCACTATGTGAACATATACACTACAGTTTGTATCTCTGAATATTACAAAATGAAATCTTATCTAGGATATAAAAAATGCAACTCTTTCTCATAGACTCTCGTCTTATTCTAATCAAAGTGCTATATGGCAACACATGGTAGAGTCAAATGAAGATTACATTAATATAAAGTCTAATAATATTCAAGAAAACAAATTGTACACAATTACAAATTTTAAAAGCTGGCCATATTCAATAGAAGCAACAGAAACCAAAATCACTTATGATTCCAGAATAGGCATTCTAGTCGATTTAAATTTTCAGAATCCGTATTAGATCTTTCTTATATAACAGCACAATTTCAATTGTAAAGTATCTATTTTCATTTTGGCATTCCAGCCATTTTCAGGTCTGTTATAAAAGTAAAAATACACAAAGGCACACCTAAGCTGTTTCTATTTTTGTAATCTACAGTAAATATTGACTATTGTCACAAGGTTTCAAATCTGTACATACAATATCCTTGGTGATAAAACTCTTATTTGGCAAAATGCCAAAAATAAAGTCAAATTTCAAGATACTCTGTTTTTAAAACTATTAAAGATACAGATCTACTATTTGGGATTCATCATTAAATTGGATCAAAGAACGCCTGTGAATTTTCCAAGATTTTTCTTAGAAGGTCATTTGTGGCCATTAGTTGATATGAGATAGAATCACACACATACATAGGATAAGGAACAATTAGAAAATGTTTATAAATCTACTATATTTCACTTTCATTAAAGCTTCATTAGAGAATGAATTATGGAGGATGTTTCTCCTCCATATTTCATTCTCTGAAGAAGCTTGAATAAAAGCAAAACATGTTAGATTTATAAAAATTTCCTATTTATTTTTTATCCTATGATTTTGTCAGATTATATATATATATATATAATCTCCAAATGTAAAAGAATGAACAGTAAGATTTCAGCATTCAAAAAATTAATTTAAAACAGGGCTCAATACAAAAGTAGAGCAATAAATATTTATTATGCAGTGTTACATTAGAATATGCGCATACCCACTACATACATCTGTACATACATACAAAACTGTACATCTTGTTTCAACGTTAAAAAAAAAAATTCTTCTAATGTTTCATCAGGTGGGAAATCATGATGCTACTAAAATATTTTATTCTGAAATGCAGTTAATGAAGCATATCTTCCATTTCCGTCATTGGAAAGTTTCCCATAAAAGGTAAAAAACAGGGACTCGGAATCTGAAATATCAGAACTTTTTGGGGTGTCACCATCAGAATCGAAGAATTTCTTACCTAATTTCCAATTCCAAAAATGATTCTTTGGATTTTTTTTTTTCTTGTTTAAAATGCTGCTTGTCTTAAGGTCCTTGACAAAATCCAGAGATGGATATGCAATGTGATTGGCCCTAATCTGGCATCTCATTTACAATTGCTATCTCACAGACATACTGTCTTTTCTACAAGTACTTTCATGGTAACTGCTCCTATGAGCTACTTTCGCTGGTTCCCAAACTGCATGAATTTAACTGTGCTATTAGGTTGGCATCTCAGTCCCACTTTTTCACTGTCGAAATAGTTAAATGTAGCTGTCTCTTCTGCTCCAATAGCTTCATGTCTTGCACTTCCCTTCCTCTTACTTGCTTCCCTGATAGCTATAATCTCCAAATATTCAAATGCAATGTCAATTGCCATCTCCAGATGCCTTGATCTATTCTCTGTTTTTCTTTTCATCCATTCCTCTATCACATCTCACATTCTCTAACTCCTTGTGTGCTAGTTATTAATTAGTTTAATTTTTTGAAATTTCATGAAATTAGGAGGTAACAAATTTAAAAAAAAAATTTCAAAATTAATTTCATTCATTTGTGAATGAGTCCTGAGAGTTTCATTAGAATCCAATAATTATTTGATTTTTTGCAAGAATTTACAAATCATGAAAAGCACAAAAAAACTAATTGTAAATATTACCCCAGTAACTGACACACACACACACACACACACAAAAGAAAAGATTTTTAACCAAAATTTTGAACGTGCTAGAAGGGATTAAAAAATTTTCATAAAATGATAAAAAAATACTTTGGTCTTTCCTCTTAATAATAGCATTTGGGGCCTTGCTATGCTGTTTTTTCAGCAAAAAAAGTGAACTGTGTTGTTGCACTTTTACTCTTTTTTTTTTTTTTTTTTTTTTTTTTTAGAAATTATTAAATTTTTTAGTTGTGAGAAATTTCAAATTTGATTTTCTTTTTTTTTTTAAAATTTACTATCTTGCAGGATTATGGATTGCTTGTACTTTATTAAAATATATGCATGAGTTAAGCCACAATACATTGGATGATGCCTTTCTGTTTAGAGTATTATTGTTGCAATGTTATAATATTAGGGTGTCTCTTATTTTTGAAGTCCATGCTGAAGTTGAATTGTCACCCTTAAATTTGTTCTATTCATTGAAATATGTCACGTATAAAATTTTAAGTAGATTGTATCATATTTAGAGGGAGACTTTGTTTGTTGAAACTTAAATGGTGGACAAAAAATAGACCCTTTTTTATTTTACAATTAATAGCAAACCATTTTTAGTTGAATCTTTACAAATTATACACATTAGAAAACTAAAAATATTTTTATCTAACAGGGAAAAATTTAAATTTTAACTGATGTTTATTATTTTAAGACCATTATGGCAATTTATGCCAAGCAAGAAAAGTGTTTTGGAACCAATACATGAAATAACCAAAGAAAAATATGTGTGTAGCTGGAAGTACTTTAAGATACATGATAATAACCAAAGTAAAAAGCAATATGCCAACTGTAGCTAAGGTACTTAAGATACATGATAATAACCAAAGTAAAACAATATGCCAACTGTAGCTAAGGTACTTAAGATACATGATAATATAAAGCAATATGCCAACTGTAGTTAAAATAAAAGATACATGATAAAACCAAAGTAAAACAAGCAATATGCCAACTGTAGCTAAGGTTTAAGATACATGATAATAACCAAAGAAAGCAATATGCATGATAATAACCAAAGTAAAGCAATATGCCAACTGTAGCTAAGGTACTTAAGATACATGATAATAACCAAAGTAAAGCAATAAGATACATGATAATAAATAACCAAAGTAAAGCAATATGCCAACTGTAGCTGAGGTACTAAGGTACATTAAGATAAAACAATATGAACTAATAACCAAAGTAAAAAGCAATATGCCAACTGTAGCTGAGGTAATTAAGATACATGATAATAACCAAAAGTAAAAGATACAATATAACCAACTGTAGCTAAGGTACTTAAGATACATGATAATAACCAAAGTAAAGCAATATGCCAACTGTAGCTAAGGTACTTAAGATACATGATAATAACCAAAGTAAAGCAATATGCCAACTGTAGCTGAGGTACTTAAGATACATGATAATAACCAAAGTAAAGCAATAAAGTAAAAAAAGTAAAGCAATATGCCAACTGTAGCTGAGGTACTTAAGATACATGATAATAACCAAAGTAAAGCAATATGCCAACTGTAGCTGAAGATACATGATAATAACCAAAAGTAAAAACAATATGCCAAAGTGTAGCTGAGGTACTTAAGATACATGATAATAACCAAAGTAAAGCAATATGCCAACTGTAGCTGAGGTACTTAAGATACATGATAATAACCAAAGTAAAGCAATATGCCAACTGTAGCTATGGTACTTAAGATACATGATAATAACCAAAGTAAAGCAATATGCCAACTGTAGCTGAGGTACTTAAGATACATGATAATAACCAAAGTAAAACAATATGCCAACTGTATGGTATGCCAACTGTAGCTGAGGTACTTAAGATACATGATAATAACCAAAGTAAAAGCAATATGCCAACTGTAGCTAAACTGGCTAAGGTACTTAAGATACATGATACATGATAATAACCAAAGTAAAGATAATATAATAACCAAAGTGTAGCTAAGGTACTTAAGATACATGATAATAACCAAAGTAAAGCAATATGCCAACTGTAGCTAAGGTACTTAAGATACATGATAATAACCAAAGTAAAGCAATATGCCAACTGTAGCTATGGTACTTAAGTGATTCACATAAAGAAATTGTTCTCTTTATTGTTTAAACTCTTAACCAATTTTTTTTTTAATATATCCCACATGGGTATAAATATATAGGAAAAAGAAGTTGAAAATGCAACTCGAGTTTAAGAATATTTATTTAGAGTAACTTTACCAGTTTTGCAATTCTATGATTTTCAAGAGTTAAATTGAGCTGGAGAGACATGTGACTGTCATGATCTGTTTTGCATCTGATATAGATATATCTGTGAAAAAACTTGAATTATCATTTTCTTACTAGTCTAACACTTTCACCCCAGCCCCTCAACCTCTGGCATCTTACTCTCGGGGTTGAGGTGTCTACTCAGTCCTAACCAAACTTAAGGGAGTGGCCATAGGTCCCCTGAGCATCCGTAGATTATTCAACCGGTCTGCTGGTTTAATCCTGCTTCCTGCCCATGTTGTGATTTGTTTGATCCAGAAAGCAGAAGTGATGTCCGTCTATTCACAGTCGACTGAAGATGTAGGCACAGCTGGGGAGTTTGTGCTAAGAAATTAAGAATGCAGCAAAAAAAAAAAATATTAATATCTGCAGAAAGCAGGACAAACATTGATTCAATGATTGAATTGTTAATGTCTTTTATATAGCAGAAAAGAATAGTAGAGAAGAGAAACGAGTTACAGAAAAGAAAAAAAAAAACCTCATACACTGGATTCTAGACAGAGAGAGAGGGTATGTGATTATCTTGCTGTTAAATCGTCTCTGAACGATATGACTCTTGCAATGAAGGGATAAAGATTTCTGTGCGGGGCTTAAAATCATAGTGACGTTTCTCCTCCCAATGCTCGCCTGGGCCA